GTGAATACCACTTCTCTAGCAGATTAACACCAAGAGGTCTTTCTATCTTTTCCCAGTAGGTGGCGCTGAATCACAAGCTCTTTTTATTTTTTTTTTATTTTTAGCTCTGTGAGATACCAGCACTGTCACCTGCAATATCTGTAGTCAGTGTAGCTGCAGTGCCCTGGGGTGGGCGTGGGCTGGGGGATTCCCTCCAGGTTCTTTGTTGTTTTGCCCTCCTAGTGATGGTGGTCTCAGTGCTCCATTAGGTCTCCCTTGTACCCTAACCTGGGACTGGTCACAGAGTGTATGTACCCTTTTTTCAGGGAGAAATGTAATTCTGCAGTATTTGTTCTCCTGCCTCCAGTTAATGTGCTCTGCAACCCTACTCCAAGGGCAAAGGGAGGAGATCTCTGGGAGGTTAAGGGGAGGTGGCCAGGCTTTGTGGCTTTGTTTCACTGTCTGAGTTGCCCACTGCCTGGCAACCATCTCCCCTTTCATGTGCTGTGTTCCTGCCCAGGATACTGTTAAGCCACAGTTAGTACTGCTCTCTCCTTCACCGAGTCTCTGTTTCTCCCTGCCAAAGGGTGTGCCTCCTGGCTGAACCTCACAGTGAGCTCAGCCTGTTGGGCAGTGTTCCTGGCTCATATCAGCCCCACTCCCTTTTTGCCTCCCCCTTTTGCTCCACTTCCCCACTGTTAGGTGTTTCACTGTGCGGGTCTCAGGCGTATTTGTGAGTTGAGCAGGGAATCTTTTGTTGAGATATGGCTCTTCAGGTTGTTGAAACTTCAGGGTGAGACCAAAGGGGATCTCTCATGCCACCATTCCTCTGATATAATCTAGTTTTGCTGGACTAGTATTTTTTTCTAATGACCTCTTGCTGTGTAAGTTAGAATTGTTTGAACTATTACAGTAAGTCCAAAATTGACCCACAGATGTTATAATCATATAGAAACTCTATCTTTTTTACTTAGATTATTGAAATTAATTCACTCAGTGGTGGTTTTCAAGGTATTTAAATTACTATAAAAACTTAGCAGAGAAGTCATGTTTTATACTCTTGCACAATTCAGGCAGTATTCAGAGCATTTTAGTACATCAGAAATAGCAGTAATAATTACTAACAACATCTGAAGGATTTATAACATGTTGAAAGGGAATTAAAGGCATACTACTTCTGGAGTGGTTATTTCAACAATTATTAAACTGGACAACTAGTCGTTTTAGTAAAGTTGATTTTAAAGTGATGAATTGTATCTTCCATGACTGATCTTATCAGATATTACTTTCCCAGAAACAAGGCTGTCATCCCTCATTCACAGCACCCATCTTCCTCCTCAGGACAGCTGGTGCCTTAAGAATCAGCTCAGACTCAGATCCAGCCTTCAGCAACCAGCTAAGAAGATTTTTGCTCAGAACTACTGTAATAGAATATTTTAGAAAGGAATTGGGATCTGGTGGGCCTCTGAGATATATCTTTTTTCTGAATTCTAATTTTGTTCTCCTGGATGTGTTACTCTGTGTTGGTACCTGTAATACAGGGATGTATAAGTTAGATGGGAAAGTCCTTTGGAAGTTTCTCAGGGCCCCAGTTTGCATAGCTATTTGAATAATAATAAATTTTCTATCTCTAATGGTTTTGTTGCTTTCTTTCCCCCAATCTAGATTTCTTCCCCTCCATCAGGTTGATTTTTTTCATAAGGGAAAGGCCATATGGATTAAGGGGAAATGAAAGGTAATAGAACAGAGTTGCTCTGGGAGAAGGAAACACCTTTGGCCAATTCCAGTTTATGCCTTGAAAGGACTGGACTCTGAGGTGGCAGAGGCTGAGCAGTGAACTTCCTGATCCAGATAAGTGGAGCCTCTTCTGCCCTTCTTTTCACACTACTCAGCCTGGAGAGCTGAAAGAGTACACATTGGCCTAGAGGCCCTTCAAATGTGACATCAAAGAGACAAGAGGGTCGGTCTCCTTTCTTCTTCCCTCCAAATTTAGTTCAGCTTCAAGGAAAAGGGGAATGGTAGAAATGGCAGAAGCTGACACAGAATGTCAGAATGGGGAGGGCAAGGGGCTGAAACCACCAGAGAAGCAGTCATAGGGGAGACACCATATAAGCTGTAGATTTTTTGTTGTTGATTTTTTTTATTGAATTCATTGGGGTGACATTGGTTAAAAAGATCATATAGGTTTCAGGTGTACAGTTCTAGATACATCATCTGTATGTTGCTCTGTGTGCTCACCACCCAAAGTCAAATCTCCCTCATCATATATTTGACCCTCTTTACTACCCCCTACGCCATTCCCTCTGGTAACCACCATACTGTTGTCTGTGTCTGAGTTTTTGTTTTTCCTCTTCATTTGCTGCTTTCAGTTTTATATCCCACATATGAGTGAAGTCGTATGGTTCTTAACTTTTTCTGACTTATTTTGCTTAGCATGATATTCTCAAGATCCCAGTGATATTGTGATAACGATGCATGGTTCCAGTTGGGGTACTGGAAATAGTGAGGGGAACATTATATAGAGTATATGATTGTCTAACCGCTAAGCTGTACACCCGAAACAAACACGTAATAAATAAAAAAGATCCATTCATGTTGTCACAAATGGCAGTATTTCATCTTTTCTTAAGGCTGAGTAGTATTCCATTGTATACATGTACCATATCTTCTTTATCCAATCATCTATCAAAGGATACTTCAGTTGTTTCCGTGTCTTGGCCACCATGTATAGTGCTGCGGTGAACATAGGGGTGCATATATCTATGCAAATAAATGTTTTCAAATTTTTCAGGTAGATACCCAGAAGAGGGATTGCTGGATCATATGGTAACTCTATTCTTAATTTTTTGAGGAGGTTCATGGTATCCCAGAGTCTCTCTGCTATTTCTCTTTTTCAAATAGCTATTTATGATGCACAGGAATGAAATACTGTAGAGGGTACTGAAAAATGAAGACATATTTCCTCCTCTTACGAAGTTAACTCTCTCCCAGCCAGCGTGGCTAAGTGGTTGAGTGTTGACCTATGAACCAGGAGGTCCCGGTTCAATTCCTGGTCAGGGCACATGCCTGGTTGCAGGAGGCAACCAATCAGTGATTCTCCGTCATTGATGTTTCTCTCTCTCCCTCTTCCTTCTCTCTGAAATCAATAAAAACATGTTAAAAAAAAAAATTAGCTCTCTAGCTGCGTGTTGACCCCAACTCCCCTGTGGACCCTGCAGCATGTGTGTCTTTGGCGACTGCCAAAGTGCATCAGCTACTGGTGCCCTGTTTCTGAACCATGGGCAGAAAGACATTTTCGGGCAGTGGAAATGGAATGAAGGGTACGGGCACATCTGACAGATGGAAGTTCAAAAGCAGAGCTCAGCATGGCCGGGACTGAATTTTTAGAAGAAAGCTCTTGGTGCGGCTTTACAAGATGCACACTTCATCCCTAATGAGCAAAACACTGAAGCTTCCAAAAAGGACTACTTAGAAACTTTGAGGTGGAGTCGGGGGAGGGTGTGTGTGGAGGGAGAGCATGGAGGTTGGTGCTGAACTGGCATTTGTAAACACACCTAATTTTTCACAAGAGTGAACATGGCTTCCTATTTGATAGAGAAAACAGGATGACTAAATATATGAGAATTCTTGGAGCCCTGGCCTGTGTGGCTCAGTTGGTTGTCATCTTGTGGACCGAAAGGTTGCCGTTTCCATTGAATCCCTGCACCAGGTTCAGATTCAGTCCTTGGTCAGGGTGTGTGTGGGAGGCAACTGATTGATATTTCTCTCTTTCTCTAAAAATCAATAAAAATATTTTTAAAAATTCTTGGAAGTAATAATTTCCATTTATATATAGGAACCATGTGGAAGGAATCATGATAAATGCTCAACATTATTATTTAAAAGAACTCTGTTAGGGAGATGCTAGTATAAACCCTGAGCTTTGGGTTCCCCATCTGTAAGATGGGGAAACTGAATTTTAACCCAAGGTATTGGATTCCAAAGCTCATTGTCATAACATATGTATACCTCTTTGAATGCCTGAGTTAAACTATTTACATGAGAAGGCACACTGTGCTTTTGTGGCCATAATTTGTGACTTGAGGCTCTTTTGCTGCCAGCTTACGTGGGTAGGTGGGTCCCTGTTAGGATATTACCCCAGAATTACCTAGTTCCCAGGACTGGGCTTATGCTTTGACTCCAGTTTTCAGTGCCTCCCTAAGGGCTGAAATTGTGCTGAGTCCTTGTGTAGGGCGTGTTGCCCTTCTACTTGTGAACAGGCCTGGATGATACCTCATTGGGAGTCTAATTCATCTTGGAGTACTGGGAGATACCTATTTGTCTCAAAATCATTGATACTGGCTGTCTTGCATTTACTAATGGTACCCTAGGTATAAGCATCTGACCATCACGTCTTCTCTGTAGCTATACCTGTGCATTTACCTGGTGAGATGCCAATTACTTGATTATAAATGACTTTCTTCATGTTATAATTACATATATAGTGTGTGCACATATATATGACTATATACATTAGGGATTTATGTATAATGTATACAGTTTTTAATGATGTGTGTAAATAAGTTTCTTTAACTATGACTCATTTCAGAATAATACAAGGGTGCTAAGAAATATTTGTGATGAAAAACAGGCAATGGTAAGGTTGAGACTAATGAGGTGGTGAGAAAAGCTTTTAAGTAGACTTCAATTCAGATTCTGGTTCAAGGTGAGAAATGTGATGGGGATCAAATTACTTCCTTAAGTCTCAATTTTTTAATATATAAAATGGAGATATTAATTATAACCTGAATTGTAACCTAATTCAGGGCTGTTTTGAATATTAAATGTTAGTATATGTAAAGCTCTTCTGCCCTGCACATAATAAATGCTGAAAACAGCTATTATGATCATTATTAAAATGAGCATGACATACACCTCATAAGGTTATAAGTATTTGCTATACAAAGTACCTGGTTAACAGATGTCCAGTAAATATTTTTCATTGAATCCTAATTTCAGAAAAAATAATAGCAAAGCAGGAATTAAACATTCTAAAGTTTTTATTCTGTTTATTTCACTTAGGACGTTTTGTGGACATTAACTAGGGTACTTAAAAGTCATTTCAATTAGGAATCTTTTTAGTCCTTCATCAATTATTTCAAGTGTTCTAGTTTCAAATACATTCCTTTCTTCTACAAACTTTTGAAAGAGATGAACACCTCCACCTACACCAAAATAATGTGCTTTGCTGGCCAAAAGCACCCGCCCATTTTTACCTAGCAATTGAAGGAATGTTTGGTGCAAAGTACCATAATAGTCTGGATTGTAAATGGTTTCTGAGGTGAGAATGAGATCATATTTTTCAAAGCGTTTTTCACTGGTTAGTACAAGCTTACAAAACTCAGTCCACTCCCCAGAAAAGAACCGGCATTGACTTAGTTCTTGGGCTACTTTTGATTTCCTGCATCTTTTCACATCTGGTTCGTTTCCGTCATTTTCTTCATCTTCCGAAGTGGAGTTAGCCACCACATTAGGTAAGGTTACTTCATCGATCACCATACTGTTATAATCTTGAAAATGAACTTCTCTTGCCCCTTCCTTGAGTGCAATTAAACCCAGCAACCCTGATCCACAGCCAAGATCCAACACTCTTTTCCCAGCAAATTTCACTTGGGCCTTTGTGAAATAAGCCAGGAGGTCAAAGGTACATTCCCAGATTTTTAAGCCTCCTTCATAAACACCGGTAATCAGATCAGAGTGAGAAGAAAAGCTTTTTGAAATGATGTTTTCTCCAGGGAAGTTCTCTTTTAACAAGATGGTTTTCACTATTGATACGTTAACGTGCTGGAGACCCGGTAATGTTTCTATGACTTTATTTTCTAACACTTTCTTTAAATCTTCAGGCACAGCATGCTCTTTGGCAAGTCTCAAGCAAGGCTGTTTTTCATGAGGCTCCAAGTTCCCTGAACTGTTAGCTACATCGAGTGAGTTGTGTGTGTCTTGGGAGGGAGCTGCATGTCCCACTGACTTAGGTCCCCACGAGTGATCCTGAGGCAAGTCAGACTGCTCTGTAAAACATTTTGTGTCCCTGTGTTTACCTTTTTGACTTTCTGAGACTGAAGACTCTTTTGAGGAATTCGGCGCCAAAGCTTCATCTCCAAGGGGCGTTAATTCATTTTCCAGATGGTCTTCTATAGTGAAATTAAATTGGAAGGTCATCCTTGCACAATCCTTCAATTCAAAGGGAGACTCCTCAGCTTCTGGATGGAATTGATGAAACGAACATAAACCTGTCCCAGTTATTCAAGTAATTTCATTTTGGTCAATTTCTCTTTAGCAGCGCATACAGTTACAAATATTTAGAGATGTTTCCAAATGACTTTTTAGAGGTGTTTGCTTTTTTTTTCTCCCCCAGTTTAACTCTGGAGAAAAAAAACAAAGAGAAATAAAATTGTTAGTAAAAAGCAAAATGACACATTTCCTTAAAATATAATATTAAACAGTCCCCCCCCAGCTATACAAGTTGCTTTTTCTATACAAGTTGTGAGGGAGATAAAGAGATTTGGAAACACACCACCTCTCAGGTGTCAAAAGCTGGATTAGAGAATGAAAAGTAAAAACAAATAAAAAAAACAAAACAACAACTAGAAAAAACAAAGTCCCAAATTTTGGGGAAGGAACTGACAAGCCTGGCTACTTGGTGTATGTCATCTGTCATGACCCAGCCCAAATATATTTACCTACTATACTGCCAGAATCTCTTCACTCAGTCGGTTCCTGTTTCAAGTAACAGGAACCCAAGAGTTTATTCTGGTAAATGTGTAGCCCTGTAAAAACTTGCACGGGTCTGCTTTGGTGCAAGTTCATCCAAATGACCTCACTATACTTAGTGGAGACCAGCAGCCCTAAGCGTATGGGAGTGGGGTGATTTTGGAGTAATCAGTAAAGGTTAGTTTGGTGGCAGAAAAAGCACAAAATAAGGACACTGAACGTTTGGAGAGTCCCGTAGAAAGTGGAAGCAACTTTACTGAGTCTCTTATCTGTATCTACGGTGCTATATCTGCTTCAGATTGCACAATTCTGGCAGGTGGGGTCTCTATTCCCATTACACAAGATGTACACAGTAGGGTCACACGGTTGAGTGGGCAGGAACCGGGCCCAATCCTACTCCCAGGTGTGCAATCTCAAATCCCCCTGGGGCCGAGGGTAGCAAATCTGGGGAGTTCCGGCCCTCACCTTCCCAAAACAACTCAATGCAACATTTACAAGTACACAGACCTGGGGATGCTCACAGCTCTGCAAGGGGCCAGCTCACCGCGGCGCGTAGAAACCCGACTTCCGGCCAAATGCTCCGCGCTAAAAGAGCGCACCAGTGAGTCGAGTCCTCCACCGGCCAGGGAGGCCTGGCTTTTCCCAGCCGCTCTGGGCCCGGGCTCGACAAGGAACGCAGCCCGCTCCCTCTCTATGGTTTTGGCGCCGGCGGAGAGCTCGCAAGGCCTGCCGGGACTGGCGGCGTTTCCGGTCTCGGCGGTGGCGGGAGTGTTTTGAAGCCGCTCCTGGGCGAAAGCATGTCTCAGGAGCGCGCGGTCCCGGCCAGCGCCGTCCCCTTGGAGGAATTAAGCAGCTGGCCGGAGGAGCTGTGTCGCCGGGAGCTGCCGACTGTCCTGCCTCGGCTTCTCATATCCTTCGCTGTCGCTGGCACCCAGAAAGGGGTGGGGGGCAGGTGTCGTACCTTTCTCCTCCGCCGAGTCACAGCCACCGCCGGGTCGTGTGGCGTTCCCGGGGGCTGATCCCTCTCAGTTCTTTGTTGGTGAGCGAGATGGAGCAGCAGGGGACGGAGGGCGAGCGAGGACCGTGCGTCCGAGAGCCAGGGCATGCCTAGCTTTGGGACTGCTAGGGCTTGCAGAGGTGTCCTCTGCCCCATGACTGGAAGTGGGAGTGGCGTTTTCGTCCATTCCCCTGTGCCTTGGAGTTTTTTTGTACTCGTCAAGTGCAGTTCAGTGTAAATACTCTTGGACAGGAGAGCGGAGGAGACAAGGACTGAGCTGTAAAGCGAGCCCTGACTCTAAGCTGGGTGGTTTGTGGATATGAATAATACCTTCCCCAGTACTGTGAGATTTAAAGGAGGCAGTTCTGCCGTGGTGCCAAGTCTGTAAAAGATGTTAAAATGCTCTTCTCCTCACCCTCTCCCACCTCTTTTCCTGTATTGCTGATTAGAAGGAGTTGCTAATTTTTGTTACTGGTTCCATCTGCTGGGGTTGAGTTGCTTGATGCCTCTGTTGTACAGGTGCAGACCATTTTTTAGTAGTCTTCGTGCCTTTGTGGTTGTAAATGTGGCGGGAGTCCTCACCTTTCATGTTAAAAGGTAGTTTTTTTCTATGCCTTTGAGCTCACCTTCAACATAAAACTACACTTAAAAGAAAAAGTGACCTTCACTTGAGAGTCTCGACACTGCACAAATAATTTTTACAATTAAAGCCAAAGACAGGTGTTATCATCCCAGAGACATGATTCATCTAGGCATTAGCACCCCCCCACTAGGTACTGAAGCCCTTTTTTTGTGGTTGTGCAGATATGCAATTGCCATCCTAAAGGATTTTGACTTCGGAAACAAAATAGCTGTCCTTCTCAAAGACATGTACTAGGTCCCTATCATGTCTCAGGCAGGGTGGCAGGCTTTGGAGTAACAAAGATAAGGGACATGGTTCCTCTTCTTCCCTTAAAACTTATAGGGGGAACTTCAGTAATTGAAAGTCAGCATTCCCACCTGATTTTGCATCTGACACTTATTCAGAAGGACCCACACCTGCTCTTCCCCCACTTGTCTTCATTGAAATACAGCAGGTTCTCGAATAACAATTTTATTCAAAGTCATTTCATTATAAAATAGGAACTTAACTCTTGTTTATATCAATTAACCTATGGAAAAATTGTTTTTTTAATACATTGTGTTGCTTTAAGCCACAGAACCAATGGACAACATTAAGTGAGGACTTACTGTAAATGGATTCACAAACCTTGAATCCTCACATCCAGTCAGCAAGTTCAATTGTCTCTGACTTGAATGTGTCTTTTTATCTCCATCCCCAGTTGCTACCACTTTATTCCAAACCCTCATCACCTCTCACCTGGACTATTGTTAATAGTTTCCTATGTCCTCTTCTAATCCAGTCTTCAAAAATAGTTATGAGTGAAAGACAGATCTTTCATTTCCTTTTTAAATCAGCCCCCAGTGGCTTGTTAACAAATTAGAAATAAAATTCAAACTTACCTAAGGCCCCATGTAATCTAAGCCTTGCCTTTTCCTCCTTCCTAGCTCACTACATTTCATCCACGAAGGCATGAAACGCCCCTGCTTCGGGGTCTTCATGCTTGCTTGTCCCTCAGCTTCGTTTATTCTCCCAGTCTTTTTGTGCCTTTTGGGGGTCATTATTCAGGTCTTGGCTCAAGTGTCATCTCACTTGGCCCTTTTCAGAGCCCTCAACTTTAGGTAGGTCCCCCAAACCCATTCTGCCACACTTTTATTTCTTTGTCCTGTTTGGTTTTCTGAAGAGTACTTTATCATGAACAGAAATCATCTTGTTTGTTTTGTTCATTTTTCACTTTTCCTCACAACACTGTAAGGAAAGGAGGAGTCATAACGGCAGGAGTTTTCACTGCATTATCTCGGCACCTAGAACGGTGCCTGGCACATACTAAGCAATGAGTAAAGGGCTAAAAATATTGGGGTTTTTAAATGCCTGGAAGTCTCATTAATGATATTTCTTTTCTACACGATTTTCAACAAATTAAAGTTTGCAGTAAATCAACGGTTCCATCACTGAAATATAATTATTTTAATGGTTTGCACTTTACATATTATTTTCCAGTCTTTACTTGCATGCCTTAGTAATCATAACTTATGTTTAATTTTTAAGAGGCTAGACTTTTTTTTTGACCTTTGCTGAAATTTCTCCATAAGGCAAGTTCTATCCTACCAGACTCAAATAAGTTAATGACTCTACCTCATTTTGAATGCTGCTGCAAAAAATATATATACATCATTAAGTTTCAGAAGAAAAATCTTATTAATGTGATGGGGTTATGGGATATTCATTTTTCTTATTGACACATTCTTTAATGATTCTTTTTTTCCCCCTTTTCATTGTTAAATATGCTTTTATTTTTTATATATTTTCAAATTTTATTTTTGTTTAAAATATTACAGATGCCCCTTTTTCTTAATGATTCTTATATTGGTTTTTCATTGTAACATTTCTAACAATTCTTTTAAAAAAAAATAAATCTTTATTGATTTCAGAGAGAAGAAAGGAGAGGGAGAGAGAGATATAAAAACAATGATGAGAGAGTCATTGATCGAGCCCGAAACCAGGCATGTGCCCTCACCTGGAATCGAACCTCATCGCCTGGGTCTTAGGTTGACGCTCAACTGCTGAGCCACGCCCGGCCGGGCTCTGACAATTCTTGGTGGTATACAAGTGTATGTTTTATAATGTGATTATTATTAGGATAATTTATGGTAACATATTTTGTAAGCTCCTGCTGTGTGCAGAGGAGTTTCAGTCTGATGAGGCTGGTAAGAAAGGTATGAAAATAATATGAAAACAAGATAGAAAAGTGGTGAGTGACTTAAGACAGATACAGATAAAGTATGGAAATGCTGAGAAGGGAGAAATTGCTTTTCTGCATGAGACACCAGAAATCATGGCTCATTGTAGCACTGTTTTTCAGCTGTCAAAAATATTTTATGGCTTACACATAGCTTGAAAAGGCAAGAATATCCCTGAGCAATTTTGAAAATATTTCCATAAAGTTTTAAAAAAAATATTGTTTGTTTACCTAGTAAGCATTAACTTTTTAAAAACGAATTTATGCCAGTAATTTGAGCCTGGTTTCAATCTCTTAAGGATCATTGCTTAAACTTCAAGAATGGTCCTTTTAAGTTTTTTCTCAGTAGTGAACTTCCTATTACTGTGATCTTCCTTAATTATTTTACTCCATGTATCAACATTCTGACAGTTGGATTGAGCCTATTCGTAAGTAAAACTGTCTTAATTGTATGATTTATTTTGATGTTAGTAAGATCTGAGTCATACTTACCAATATAGCATTGTATTCCCTTCAAATTGAATCTTTTCCTATTGTAGTGTTACAGCCTCTATAACCTTCAGTTACTTAAAATGCCCAAGTTCCTCCTAATTACAGTACTTAAGAGTTTTAAATTCCATTTTCGATAGATAGCAAATGTGTTCTGTTTAATAGTGTATGTATAAGCAAAATGTAAACTTTAAATGTTAGTTGTTAAACTGTGGTTAGACCACTGTGAAACATAACTTGCAGTCTACTGCTTTCAGCTTCTAACATGTGAAGTAGCTTTAGAAAATAGTTTCTAGGTTACAGAAAGCTGATTATTTAGGTGATGACACATTTGTTAATTGGAAAAAGTTGACTTTCTTTATGTCTTCATCACTCTTTCTTGATGTGATTTACTTGGTTAGCCAGGAGAGGAGGTAGAGAATAAAGACTAGACAGTAGTTTATATTTGTTTTGAGTGAGAATGGTTGTGGAATATTTGTTTATAATTTGAATCTGTGTTGCCTGTTGGGGTCTAATTTTTTTTTTTTTAAGGAATAGAATTATTTTTTATCTGAGTATGAGTTACACATATTCATTGTAGAAAATTTGAAATATGCAGAAAAACATGCAGAAGACTGTGAAACACCCATGGATCTGAAATACTTAAGATTTTAATAGAGAACATTCTCATTGAATTTCTGTACATTCCTTTCAGATTACCTTTTATTCTTTGTATGTACATGTTTACATGTATTAAAATCGCGCTACTCTTTTGGGACCTTTTTGTTTAATTTTAAAGTACTGTAAACATTTTTTATTGTTTTTACATAATCTCTAAGTCACTTAAAGATCCTATTTATTAAAAGTACTCACATCCATTAAGTGGTTCTTAACTGCTGGACATATTTTCCCTTTTTTAGCTATTATTTCAATTACTTAATAGGTCTCTACATAGATTATGGTGTTTGAAACTGTACAGCGCTTTCTGTGGGTTGTGCTTACATAGTCTCCCGTTTGGAAAGAGCATGATCATTGTTTGTTGACTGACATCACTTAATATTCCTACAAAATGTGTTACTATTTTGCTTTATAGAAATTCTGAAAATCATTGTAGAAATGTTTTTACCTCATATGAACCACCTGACATTGGAACAGACTTTCTTTTCACAAGTGCTGCCAAAGGTACAGTACTGTTATCTTATTAGGTGTACAGGTTATAAAACAAAGACTATTAAAATCTAACCCCTGTTTTAGATCATTCTTAATTGTGGCTTTTAAAAAAT